TGGCCCCAAGGAAGCTGTGATGTGCTACTGGTTTCTATTCCACCATCTTTGCTACAGCATTTTTCAACAGATGGATCTATGTCAGGCACTTTTGATCATCCTGAATATTTTAAAAACCGAAAGTGAATCATTGTTGGGATCAAATGAGATTTCTTTAAGGTATCTGTAAAAACAGAAGAGAAAAGGATAAAGGAGCCCTAAGGCACATCAAAATTTGAGTGTTAGGATAAAAATGAGAATCCAGGTAAGAAGCAAAAGAAATGAAAAAGAAGAGAAGCAAGTCTGTGGTTTTTTGAGGTGTTTGTTGTTGTTGCTGTTGATTTTTAAAATAAGGTATACAACCTAATGTTATAGCAAACATATAAATAATGAAATGTTTGCTATCGTGAAGCAAATTAACATGTCCATCACCTCACATGGTCACCTATCCCCCTTTTGGTGGTAAGAGCAACTAAAATCTATTCATTTAGCAGGAATCTCAAAGACAGTACTATTTATTAACTGTCTGAGAAAGCTTAAATGCCATCTATATGCTGGTGATTTATAAATTCATTCTTGCAACCATAACTTTTTTCTATGAAATCCTGGTTTAGATAGCCAGAGCATATTTCAATGCAACATAGCCAAAGCCTAATTCTTAATTTTCTCCACCATATTTGATTGTGTTATGCAATTTTTTTTAGTAAATGACTCTCATTATTCCACTTTATTAGGAAAAAATAACATACTCCAATAATGGACTTCCAGAGAAATAAATAAGGAAAACAATTCCATTCACAATAACATAAAAAAAAAAATGATATGTAAGGATCACACTTGCAACTTCTCTGAACTTCTACCCCAAATATAGTCTGTGTGAAATTTTATTGGCTTTACATTTAAAATACATCCAAAAAATAATTACTTGCCTACATTGCTACAATAGATGCTTAAAAGAGTCCTGAAGCACTCCTATATAATATGTCATCTTCTCCTTGTAGAAAGAGCTATTCATTTAAAATGCAAGCCTGCTCAAATCCTCCAAGGGTTTCGCATCCTGCTTAGCACAAAATCAAAGTCAATCATATGGCCTATCAACCCCTCAACATCCCTCAGCATCCTTGACTTGTGTAACTTCTGACTTCGCCTCCTTTCTGTCACTTTCTGTTGCTCTCCCCTCCATGGGGAGCCTCAAGGTGAACAGTCTCCCTGCTGTTCTGGGAAGAGCAATGGAGAACATGGTAAGACAGACCTGAGTAGGTACAGGGCATGGGTGCCATGCTGCCTGGGTTTGACCCCTGGCTGTGCTCTTGCTAGTTTTGTTACCTTGGGTAATTAATCCTTTAACCTCTCTGTGTATCAGTTTCCTTTCCTACAAGTTGTATGCAGTAATGGTATCACCATCCTAAAATTTCGCTAATAATACAAATCGATCAAACCATGTAAGCTATCAGTAGGGATTAGCCGTCATCAACATTGTCATTATTCTGATGATCATCACTACCATCCCACCTCTGTAGCCATCATCATTTTCACTATCATCAGTCACTGCCATGACTGTCAGCATTCTGTCACCACCACCATCACCCTCATCACCACCCCCATCACCACCATCTTCCTCAGTCATCTCGCTCATCCGTGTCACCACCCCATCACGAGTCTCCTCTGCCCCATCCTGCTCCTCCTAGATTTCTGAAGACTCTCATGTTTTCTATTCTGGGAAGAGCTGTTAAGCCAAAAGGAATCAGGACTTGATAACTTGGGAAATTCCTAGCTTATTTAGATTGCAAAAGATGCTGAACTCAGGAGATGCACTGTCAAGAAAGTGTGCTCAAGAGAAAAAGCCAAAGATATGGCTGGATAATACTTTCTTAGTGCTTTGGGAAAAATAAATGTATGAGGGTATTCATCCACATAGAGGGCTGTGTGGACATTGGGCTGTGTGACTCACGAATTCCCTCAGTCATCTCAGCAGAAGCCAGACACAGAGAGGAAATTATCTGGGAATGATTTGTAGAGGAACCTCCAGTCTAATGGGGTAAATCCCTATGACATACATGGGAAACCCATGAGGCTTTTGGGAAAGTAGTATCAGCAGAAACTTTGACTGCTTATATTGAGAGATTTAGAAATGAGAAGATGCTATCAGACTCCCAAAATTCTCCAAACAGGAAAAAGCCTGATAAAACTGTGCAGGTGAAAAAATATGTGCTACCCTTCCTGGAAAAAAAAAAAACAACAAGTATGACCATGGAGACGGAGCCAGGGGCTAGACAAGGACTCTTTGGACCCCTGGGTGAGAAATCATGGGCCAAAAGCTGACTTGACAGTCCAGGGGTGCAGCTCTGCCCTCCAGAGATTATTCTCAGGTCTTGAACTAAAGGAGTTTGCCTTGTTTGACTTCAAATTTTCTCTTGAGCATTTTTTTCTTTCTATTTTCTCTTTTTTGGAGTACAAATGTCTGTAACAATTACCTATGCGTATCCCACTATTGTATTTTGAGAGCATTTTATAGCTTTTCAGGTCCAAATATGCAGAGTAATCCTATCCCAGAGTAGTTCATACTCAAGTTTCAGACAGATCTTGATTTGCATGATTTACATGATGAGGTTTAGGAATTTGAGCTGATACTTAGATGGGATTTTGGATTTGAGTCGATGCTGTAAGGGACTGAGAGCTTCAGGACATTGGTATAGATGAACACACGTACTTGTGATGTTTTATTGCAAGCAATAAACCTCCTCCTTATTTAGGTTCATCCTCGTGATATGGTTGGAATGCAAACATGGAGGTGAAATGTTTTATATTCATGTGGGAAAAAAACCACCAGAAGGTGATTTCTCATCAGAAGCCAGTAGACAATGGAATGGCAAATTTTAAAAGATTTTTAAAACCATTTTTAGAATTATACACCCAGTAAAAGTGTTTTTAAACTAAAATTAAAAATGAAAAAGATTACTTTTAATTTTCTTTAAAACAATGAGCTGTTTAAAATAAAAATCTACAATGGAATTTATGCATAAAATATGGTACAATAAGAACATAAATATGGAAGGGCTATAAACCCAAATATGGTTTGGAAAGTTCACAGCATATTTACTATAGTAGCATCATAGTAATTCATAATAGGCTGTGAAAAGAAATATAATTCAAAAAATATAACTAGAAAGCCAGTAGAGGAGATAACAATGCTCTAAAAATCCAAAGAGAAGTTGGAAGAGAAGCAACAAAAAGGAAAAACAAATTAATATAGAAAACACATGGAACAATAATCTTCTACATCCCAATCACACTTAATTTAAAAGAAAAAGAATGGGTTATATGCTTTTTATAAGACCACCACTGTGTGTGAGTATGTGTGTGCAGAAACCACAGGAAAAGCAGTATATAACATGAAATATTTATAGAAAAGTATGAATATTAACATCAGCCAAAGTGAAATTGTAAACCAGGAATATTTGCAGCAATAAAGAGTGCTGCTTAATGGCAAAATGGTTCATTTATCAGTGAGACATAGCAATGCTAAGGATGTGCACATCTAACAGCATAGCTTAAAACACAGAAAACAAAACATCATCAACAGTAAAGCAGTATGGAAAAAACCATAATCATCATTGTGGATTCTGGTCCACTTCCATCAGTAATTGATGGTATTAGTAGACAAAACTATGCAAAGATAGCAAAGACTAAAAGCATACTATTAGTTACCTTAACCTTACTAACTTCCTCCAACATCTACAAAATATATATTTTTTTCAAAACATGTGGGATATTACAATAAAACATATATTGTGGAACCAAAAAATATCAGTGATAAAGCTTATCATCCAGGCTTAAAATCCAGCAGCTTGTAATTAGCATCAGCTCCTTATTTAGACCATAGTAGACAGCCCACTGCAAAGGGTGAGGAACGCAAGGCCCTTGCAGTCACTAGTCCACAGCAACCGTGAATCCAGCTGGACATGTTGGTGGTGTCCACTGCTCTGGTAGTCAGAATGGTCCTTTATCACAGCCCAGGAGTGCTTTCTAGGACTGATTTCCTAATTCATAATTATTGGAAGATATTGGTTCCATTCTCTGGATCTCTCCTCCAAGAAGTTCTTTTCTTTGTATAAAAAATGGGCTTTTTGATGATTGACAGAAAACATATGTTCCTCTACTTGTATATTAGATAAGTGATATCAATTAGATAGATAGATAACATAGATAGATAGATAGACAGACAGACAGATAGGCAGATAGACAGAGAGATAGATAGATAGATAACTGATAGATTGATTGATTAATTTCTGGCCCACGGTTAGCACTTAACTAATGTTAACTATTACTTATAACTACTACTTAAAAGCACAAACTTAACACTGAATCCTTCCATACAATCCTTTGTACAGAAATTGCTCAACTAATACTTCATTATGAGGCAACGGATTGCTACTATATTTTCATTCTTACCTTAATACTATAATAAACAACTTGGTTCTGGTTGTTCTCTGTTGATCCCTAACTCTTGAAGTCCTTCTGTGCCCAACTCTTTCCCCCAAGAGGATGACTGCAGGGGACAGAGTCACCAGTATCCCTGGTCCTCTTGCTTCAGGTGGGCTTGGCCAATGGGAGACAGGGCAAGGCGTGGACGGCTGGGAGCAGAAGGAGGCCTGCTAACTACCTTGCTGCTCTGCCTTGCGTGGTCTCGTTTCCATCGGTAGCTGCCTCCTCCCCAGAGCCACAGTCCTTCCCACTGCTTTCCACTGTGTGTCCAGCTCTCTGTGGTGTCTGATAAGTTTGTGCCATTTCTTCCCTTGAAAGTCTAAGAGCAAAAGGGGCTTCCTGCTATTGCTAGTGTGGAACTGCTGGTTTGCTGACCCACAGCTGAGGCCAAGAATCCCTTTGCTACATTTTCCAAGAAGTTAATACCGGTTCATCAAGCTATTTATTTCCAACTGATAGTGGTATAGAGTCTTATACTTGCCGTTTTGTACTACTTTTTGTTCATTTACATCTATATTTGAAGATTCATTTGGACATCAGCTGAGAGAACTGCTAGCTGCATGAGGATGTGCATTGCCAGTCACCAAACTGCAGCCTGCAAGGTGGTGGCCTCCCCGGTTGTGGGAGAAGCAACTCCTGGCGAGAACTTTCCCTATGGCCCCTTTCATCTCACTGTTCCTCAGTGTGTAGATGAGGGGGTTGAGCAACGGGGTTCCCAGTGTGTACAGGAGGGAGATGAACTGGTCTCGTCCAGCGCGGTAGCTGGGGCTGGGGCGCAGGTACATGAAGGCGCAGCCGCCGTACTGCAGCAGCACCACCGTGAGGTGGGAGGAGCAGGTGGAGAAGGCCCTGCAGCGCCCCGCTGCTGACTGAACCCTGAGCACCGCAGCCGCGATGAAGGCATAGGAGACAGTGATGAGGAAGAACGGCACAGCGATGGCCAGCGTGGCTGCCACCAGCACTGACTGCTCATGGGCGGGGCCGCTGGCACACACAAGCTGCATGACGGGTGGCACGTCACAGAAGAAGTGCTGGATACCCCGGGCGTGGCAGAATGGCAGAGAGAAGATGAAGGCCACCAGCTGTAAAGACAGCAAAAAGCCAAGGATGCCAGATGCCACCACCAGGCGGGCACAGAGAGTCAGTGTCATGATGAGAGGGTACTGCAAGGGGTGACAGATTGCAACATACCGGTCGTAGGCCATGGCAGCCAAGAGCAAGCAGTCAGCACTGCCAAGTCCGATGAAGAAAACCATCTGAGTGGCGCAGCCCAGGAGGGTGATGCCCTTCTCTGACCGCAGGGTGTTGGCCAGGATGTGGGGCACCACCGCCGCAGTGTAGCAGATCTCTATCCCGGAGAGACTGCCCAGGAAGTAGTACATGGGCGTGTGCAGGCGGGCTTCAGTCTGGACGGACAGCACGATGAGGACATTCCCGGTGATGATCAACGCATAAACCAGGCTGACACCAAAGAAGGACAGGACGCTCAGCTCTGGGCAGGAGGGGTAGGCCAGGAAGACCAAATCCGTCAACACCGACTGATTTTCCCAGTTCATTGAGCTGACAGCTGCACCTTGAGTGACTTCTAGAAGAGAAGGAAGACTCAGACTGGTGGTGTACCACCACTTTGGTGATGTATTAGATTTCCCACTGCTAGGTGGTACCCACAGTTTAAAGGAGGAGAGGTTTCAGCAGATTCAGTATGCACCAGGCAGAAAGGCACCGTGAAGTAAAGTTGCTTTGTTCATGGCAACCAGGAAACAGAGCAGAACAGTGCCAGAGAGGAAGAGGCGGGGTGCAGAGAGGAAGGGGCAGGGTCCAGACAGTGCCCAAGCTCACACTTCCACGCCCACCCAGACCCTGCTCCACCAATCAGTGCGGTGGGTCCCAAGGCAATCAAGTTAACCCGATCAAGCTTAACTGACACAGGTGATGTACTTACACACCAGTTCATGAATCTAGTTTTACTCATGAGGGCTGGAGTTAGAAAAAGAAAGGCCAGGACCTGTGCCTTCCTTTCTTTTTTTTTTCTCTTTCTCCTTTTCTTTTCTTTCTTTCTTCCCTTCTCCCTTCCTTCCTTGCTTTTCTGCCTTTCTTTCTTTTTGGCCCACCTTTACAAAGTCTTTTCACATAAATGTCTGCAACCTAATTTCTAGTTGCCAAGAGTTGATCCAAATTATCGTGGAGACTAAGACAAAAATGGAGGAAGTAGGTAGAATTTGGGAACTATTTTCAGAAAGGAGTGAAATGAAAATTAAATTTTGTCAGTGTACTCACAAGAACGTGTCAAGGATTTCCTGGGGCTAGGAGCCATTTAAGTGAGGGAAGGAAGCCAGTCATTCTTTCATGCTTTTATGTATTAGAGTGTCTTGTGAGGTATTAAATCAGTGATACATGGATGAAATACTCAGAAACTCATGATGTGATAGAAAAAGGAGAGAGAGAGAGAGAGAGAGAGAGACGTTTTTACATAGGCCTAAGCCTGACAAGGCTGGGAGAGCCACAGAAAAATGCCTTCCCGTTCTTGCTTGCTGTCACCTTATCTAATTGGGAGAAGTACAAGGCTTAAAGAAGACAGGGTGTTTAATCATAGGCTTCTCCTGTTTGCGGAATGTATGGAAAAGCATGATCCAAAAGTATTAGAGATCCCAGAACATTTCTCTGAGTTTGGGCATGAATATGCAAGATCAGCCCAATCCCCTTGTCCATACATAACTCTGTCCTTCAAAGTATCTAATGTATTAAATATGGGGGAAGCCACCTAGCTTCCATGAAAACCTTTTCGTGAGCAGACATAACTTCACAAAGGACATCCAGTCAACCTTTTTCCCCCGAACCACTCATATTTAAGAAAGTGGGAAGGGGGACATGTAACGTTGTCTCAGCCTGCCAAATTTAAATATTTCCTGCTACTCCACATAATATTTGAAGAGAAATTTCTATCCAGAATCATCACTTCCAGTGAAAATCATTTACATAAACCCACTGTCTCTGTTTCTTTCATTGCTGAGACAGAATACTCCACACCCAAAGTTAAAAACAAAAGGTTTACTTTGGCTCACAGCTGTGGAGATTTCAGTCCATAACTGGCTGGTTCCAAGGCAGGGTGGCGTGGCTGAGGGGCAACAGTTCATGGCAGGCTGAAGGGAGCAAAGCAAGCAAGGGACGAGATAAGCCTCTTTCTATCTCTTCTACTATATCCAGTCTATAAAGATCAGGGTGGTGCCAAGCCCACTGGTGGACTGATTTAGTAATCACCCACCCTTTATGCCAGCACCCTTAATCTTAGCACTGCACCATGAGTCAATCACACACTCTAGATCCAGCCACCTCTGAGAAAGCCTCACTGATGCCTGCATGAGGCTTTGGGGGACATCTAGACACAAATCATAAGACCTACCTCAACATCACAAGCACGAGGACAAGTGTATTTGGAGGTTGTTGCTCTTGTACCTAACAACTGATATCTATTTCGCTCACTTCCTTTTCTTCTTCTGAACTTCAGTAATGTCTTGGATTATTTCTAGTGTCACTTAGCATAGTGCATATGTTACTACAGCAGGGAGTAGCAGTGTATCAGCGTAAACTTTGAAATTAGAATGATGTGTTCTGAATAATTCCATCTCCGGCTCTGTGATCCTAGGCAACATGTAATATCTCTGAATTATAGTTTCACTATTTGAAAAAATGGGAATAATAATTATAATCATTTCAAAGGGCTTTTGTGAATGTCAGTAAGATAGTAACATAAGATAGCCATCACAATGAGTAGTCCATACTGAGAGAAGCCTAATCAAAGATAACAATCATAGTTACTTGGAAGTTCAAGGGCAACCATCCTTCCTTTTTATAGTTTTTGCTCCCCTCACCGTTAAATTTAATCTTGCATAAATTTTAGGTGCTCAGCCATTACATATTGAATGGCTGGATACACTGTGGGAAACACCAGTCACTTTTCTTTCCACTTGTTGCTATTTCACAGTAAAATTAGTTGTTTGGGAGTCTTTATAGAAAACACTTTACATCCAAATTTGGACAGCACTGTGGGAAAAAAATCTTATCACTTAAGAACATAGTATCTCTATGCCTCCAACAAGCAGGCTTTGAAGGGGCAACCTATCACCTGTGTGACCATGTAGGGCTTTCCACTCCCTGGCAATGATGCCTTCTGAGAATTTCCTTGAAGTCCATGACCCTCACATCTCAGTGGTGTTCTCTAGTATCTATAATGAAATATTTACATAGGAACTAAAGTAGTCAAGAATTCTTAGTGCTGGAGTGGACTTTTGAAATTCTCTGGCTCAGTCCCCCACTGACTACCGTAATCTACAAGACACTGTCTATTCATCAGGACACACTCAGTGCTCAGGACTGGCTTGCTTCAGGAGGAAAGACAAAATTCTCTGAAAGCTCTCTTTTGTGATCCAATCAACTCTGCCCCTGTGAAACTGGTATGTAGTTATTCTGTTCTAGAAAACGAAACCATTTCTACGTGAATCCCTGGACTTACCAAAGAGATCTTATCCTGCAGCCCCAGCTTACTTTGTTCAATTTCCTTTTACTATTTCTCACATGACATAGTCTTGGTGTGTGTCATAGTTTAAGATCTGGAAAGGCTCTCATATTAAATATCCTTTAGAATGAGCTGCCTTGGACAAGGAACAGGAATTTTTTAAAAATTGCACTGATGAAATGGTGGCATTCCTGGTTCCAAGACAGTGAAAGTTAGATCAGTGCATCATCAATTTGCCATTCCAAGTTATCACTGATGATGTGCAAGGCAGAAGTAAGATATGAGCACTTCAGCAGCATCCGGGAACTCTCCCCCAGATCTCAGGGTATCCAGATCAAATCCTACATCTACTTTTACCTCCATCCTTACCGCCCTGGGGAGCTTAGCCCTGACTGGCAAGAATGCTATGAGAAAGATTATCTCTGGACATTCAGGAAACCCAGATAGTCTAGTGTGGAACAGTGCTGCAACTGTCTAGTAAAAATCATGTGTGAAAGGGAGATAGTGGATTAGCATTAAATAGACACAAGCCTATCGGTCTACGACTGATAGCATAATCCTCTGGGGAGATCATCTTACATTAATTTGTTTCCCATGTTTAAAAGATATAAATACTACCACTTACCTAATGGAGCTGTGATGAAATTAAGTGAGATAGAATATTTGGAACACTTAGTTTGATGGATACAGCCTATTAAGTTGCATAATAATTTTATAATAATAATATTGTTTTGTTTCCTCCCTTCTTTGTATCTATTATGGTTATGGTGTATTCAAAATACCTGCTTCATACTGGAAGGTTACATGAGTGCAGGTTTTTTTTTTTATTAGCCCTGAAAATTTACCTAAATTTGCATTATTTAATCCTTCAACATTTCTTTGACTGAGATTAGTTATTAACTTTACATTCAGTATAATTGGGCTTCCAAGTGAATTCAGAGAAACACTGTCAGTCGTGAGCTGAACTAGATTTGCAATCCTCAGGTCTCATTTGAAAAATCCTCATTCATTTTTCTAACAGCATCACCAGACAGGTTAATCTGCCAACACTGCAAGCTGAGGAGTTAGAAAGAGACTTTCTCTTACCTTCCTCGTGGGAAGAGTGGGGGATGTACTGACCCAGGCTGCCAGTTAAATTCACAAAGGCCAGGACCTCGTGTGTGATGTCTGTGATGTCATCTGATGGCTCTGGTGGGTCCAACGGAAGGACGATGGTCCTAGAGAGATGACCCAGGGGCGCTGGCCTCTGGATACCCTCCTAGTCAAAAGCCAGGGAAGGAGTAAATTGCTTAGTTATCTGGGGCCTCTCCTTGTAAGCTCCAGCTCCCAGAAGAAGGCTGCTTCTGATTGCTAGTCCCCTCCCTTGTTACCATATAATTAGTCCAAACTAAAACTGTCTCTCCACTTGGGAGCCCTGCCACATGGAGGTTCTGACATATGCTTGTCAAAGTAAAGACCAGTATTTAGCTCTTCAGGGACATTTTCAGTGCCTGAAGCAATTTCTGGAGAAATACAAAGTTCTCTGATCAAAGTCTTTTGAGCCTTCTATTTTAGAGAAAATGCAGGCACCGATTGTCATAGCAGGGTGCATCCCCGATCTTCAATTTTAATTAACCTGGAAAATAGCAACTTTATGTTTTTGCCTCTTTTCCGTGGGGCTTGGTGTATCATTATGCTATTAACAGTGCCTTAATTAATACATAGCAAATATTTCATCTTTTCTATAGCATCTTTGTGATGCTCTTTTAGCACAGATGCTTCCATAGGTCTTAGCAAATTAACTGAATTCATTTTAAAATGTTGCTGGGTGATTGTACAAAGACATATGGTGTCGAGCGCCCCGGCTCTGGAGTTACTGACCCAACTCATCCATCCTGATGTGAAGCACCCTAAGGGAAAAAGCATGGAGACTGACAAAACCCTGGAGTCATGTTTCTCAAGCTTGCTGGCCAAAGTATACAAATAAACAATACCTAAACCTACTTCTGGACATGCTACCAGCACAGCTATTGCTGAGATGCGATTTCTAGAGAAATAATGGTT